ATGGAGTACCGTTGTAGGCGAAGTTAATTCTGTTGAGTCCTGTGATGATACTACCAAAGTGTGGCATATGGGTCTTGATCATCTTAGTGAATGTGGTATGGCTGAATTACATAAAAGAAATATGTTGCATGGTATCAAAAGTTGTAAGCTCGATTTTTGCAAGTATTGTGTTCTTGGAAAACAGAATAAAGTTCGTTTCAAGACTGAGAAGCACACAGCTGAAGGGATTCTTGATTATGTGCATTCTGATGTATGGGGGCCTTCCACGACATCGTTTTTGGGTGGATCTAGGTATTATGTTACTTTTATTGACGATTTTTCATGGAAAAATTGGGTGTATTTTTTAAAATAGAAGTCTGACGTTTTTTAGAAGTTCAAGCTGAGGTAGAAAACCAAACAGGATGAAAAATCAAGTGTTTGCGATCTGAAAATGGTACGGAGTACACAGATACATAGTTTCTAAACTTTTGTAAGGAGCATGGGATTAAGAGGCATTTTACAGTGCACAAGACACCACAACATAATGGTGTTGCGGAACGGATGATCAGGTCATTGAATGAAAGAGCCAGATGTTTATGGTTGAATATAGGGCTTCCCAAACACTTATGGACTGAGGCTGTTAACATGGTGTGCTATCTTATCAATAGATCGCCAAGGGCATCATTGGATGGGAAAGTTGCAGAAGAGGTAGGGACTGGACATGATGTTACTTTTGATCACTTAAGGATTTTTTGTTGTCCTGCTTGTGTGCATGTACCTGCTGATGAGAGATCCAAACTTGATGAAAAATCGAAGGAGTACATTTTTCTGTGTTACAAGAAAGGTATCAAAGGATTCAAGTTATGGGATCCATTTGGGAAGAAAATTGTGATCAGTAGAGATGTTTTTATAAACAACTCATGTTACAGCAAAAGAAAGACACGACAGTGATGGATTTCGAGCAGTTTCCATTGAGAAAACAAAAACTTCTCAACCAACTTCTGTTGGTTCCGCTATGGATGATTTGTAGGATTATAGTCTCGCTAGTGACAGAGTGTGATGGACGAATATAAAGCCTCCGAACAGATTGGGTTTTGAAGACTTTGTCTCTTTTGCACTTACTGTTAGTAGTGATGATCCAGTTACTTTTCATGATGATGTTACTAGTCAGAAAAAAGACAAGTGGATGACTGCCATGGTTGAGGAGATAAAGTCTTTGAATCACAATCGTACATGGGAGTTAGTTCGTCTTTCTGACGGTAAGAAGTCGATTGGTTGCAAATTGGTGTATAAGAAGAAACCAACAGTAACAGAAAAAAAAAGGGGAGAAGTTCAAGGATTGTTTGGTAGCAAAGGGTTTTTCACAACAAAAAGGAGTTGATTATGATGAAATTTTTTCTCCTGTAGTCAGGCATACTTCAATCCGAGCAGTATTTACAATGGTGGCTAGTTGGGATTTGCATTTAGAGCAGATGGATGTTAAAACTACATTTTTGTATAGTGATTTAGAGGAGCAGATCTACATGCAGCAGCCTGAAGGTTTCGCTCAACCTGGAAATGAGCATTTAGTTTGCAGATTGAAGAAATCTTTGTACGGGTTGAAACAGTCTCCGAGATAATGGTACAAACGGTTTGACTCCTATATGATCAAGATTGGCTACAAGTGATGTGAGTATGATTGTTGTTTCTATGTTAAGAGCCTTGACGATGGTTATTTTATTTTTCTGTTATTGTATATTGATGATATATTAATTGTTGCGAAGAACATGGATGATGTTATCGGTTTGAAAACTGTATTGAGTCAGGAATTTGATATGAAATATTTAGGCACTGCAAAGAAAATTCTTTGAATGGAAATTTGCAGGGACAGAGACTCAAGGAAACTGTGGCCATCTCAACGGGGTTATGTTGAGAAAATGCTAGAAAGGTTTGCAATGAGCAGCGCAAAACCAATGAGCACTCCATTGGCGAATCACTTTAAGCTCTCATCAGAACAGTGCCCTAAGACAGATAAGGAAGCTGAAGATATGGCAAAAGTTTCGTATTCTAATGTTGTTGGTTTCTTTATGTATGCAATGTTATGTACTCGTCCTGATTTAGCTCATGTTGTTAGTCAAGTTTGTAAGTACATGTCTAAACCCGATAAGCAACATTGGAAAGCAGTCAAGTGCATCTTTAGGTACTTAAAGGGTACTATGGGACATGGAATTGTTTTTGTTAGTGAGAGGGATAATCCTTTGGTTGTAGGATATGTGGATTCAAACTATGCGGGTGACTTGGATAGTAGAAGATCTACGACAGGGTATGTCTTTACTCTTGGTGGAGGGCCTATTTGTTGGAAGTCTATTGTTCAATTTGTTGTGGCATTATCTACAACTGAAGCTAAATACATGGCAGCGGCTGAAGCTGCAAAAGAAGCTTTATGGCTTACTGGTTTAGTGAAGGAGTTAGGTGTTCAGCAAGGTGGAGTTCAGTTGCTTTGTGACAATCAAAGTACTATTCACTTGGCTAAGAATCAAGTATATCATGCTAGAACTAAGCATATTGATGTAAGGTTTCACAAGATTAGAGAGTTGGTTGCATCTGGAGAGATTTTGTTTCAGAAGGTACATACTAATGAGAATGCCGCTGATATGTTCACCAAGCCAGTTACGACAGACAAGTTCATGCATTGCTTGGACTTGTTGAGTGTTTCGAGTTGTTAAAGAAGTAAGGTAACCCAACCCACATTGAATGTTTCCTAAGAGGAAGGATATTCGCCAAGATGGAGATTTGTTAGGTATGGCTCATAAATATACAGAGAAAGTCTCGTAGTGGGGGTTATGATTATGTGGGTTGGGGGTGCAGGGGCGTAGACCTCGCAGTATGGTACAAGGTTGTTTTTGTAAATATGTACCAGGGTTTATTTTTTATAAAAGGAGATGTAACCTAAACCTATGAGAATTGAATTGAATAAAAATTCTAGCGTCGCCTAAGGCACCGAGGACGTAAGCACATTGTTGAACCTCGTTAAAATTCTTGTGTTATTTCTGTTTTCTTTACCCGATTTTTCAACACATCATACTATATGAAAATAGAGGTCTATATACATTTGATACAAGTTTTTTGTGATTGTAATAATGTTGAAATAAATCTTGTTAAAAGTAAAAATAGTAAGAGTGAGTTGTGACATAGGAGGTTAGGACATCCAGCCTATGAAACATTGTGTGTGCTTAAAAGTTGTAATATACCTCTTGATAAAAGTGACAATAAAAATTTTCTTTGTGGAGCCTGTTGCATAAGAAAGATTCATAAGCTGCCTTTTTCAAGTTCACAAAGTACTATGTAGTATTTGTTGATGCGTTTATTAGGCATAGTTGGTTGTATCTCATAAACGATAAGTACTCAAACAACTTATGTTTTTCGTATGTTTCGTTAAATTGTTGAGAATCAGTTTGAAACTGATATTAATGAGGTACAAAATGACTCAGGATGAGAATATTGAAGCTTGTCTTTGGAGCTTCTTGAAGCCAGATTTAAACCTCGACTCATGTGTCTGCATTCGTCTGAACAAAATGACACAGTGGAAAGGAAGCATCGTCATGTCATTAAACTAACATTGACCTTATTTGCTCAAGCTAAGTTACCTGTTCGATTTTGGTCATATGATATAGTTAGTGTTATTTAACTTATTAATCATCTGCTGGCGACTGTACTAGGTGGTATTTCGCCCTATGAAAAAATGTTTGGTCATAAACCAGACTATGAATTCATGAAAGTTTTTGGATGTCGATGCTACCCGCACATAAGACCGTTCCACAAGCATAAGTTAGAGTTTAAATTATAATCCTGCACATTCTTAGGTTTTAGTCCTAAACACAAAGGTTATTGGTGTCTCACCAATGATGGTAAGGTGTATATTAGTCATCATATTGTGTTTGACGAGTCTACTTTTTCGTTTACAGATCAAGTGAGTTCCGAAAAACATGTGGCAAATAAATGGCATGAGAAGGGCAAGTTTGAGTCTCTGAAGATTGTACCTGGTTCTAAGAAGCTAAATAATAATGCTGGTCGTTCTGTGTAGGTACATCTGCTCATAGTAACGTGAACTTAAATGTTTCAACCCCAACAGACCAATAATTAAGTGAGAGAGTTCAAACGTCTATTTTTCCTTCAGTTCGAGAAACCACTACTGGTTCTTTTCAGTCAATTACAGATGAATAGTGCTTAAGATTTGTTGAATCAGATTTGCCAAATCAGTTACTTAATTCATAAGTGTCTGCAGGAATGAATCTTCAAAATGACACTTCTTTCTACTACTTGGGTTACAACTAGTTTAGATGCAACGACTGCAGGTTTAAGTTCCCCTACTTTGATTACGGATGAAGTTGTCTTGCATGATACCTTAGCTGCTCGTAGGAGCTCGACTGTTGTTGGACATCAAATGGCCACACGGAGCTAAACGGGATCTTTAAACCCAAGCTCTTTGCTATTCTAGTGCAAATTAAAGAACCAATACCACCGACAATTGAGCATACTCTTACTTCAACTAATTGGAAACCTGTTGTTTTAACTGAATATAGAGTTCTTGTCAAAATTGGCACTTGGGATCTTGTTCATTTACCTGCTAGCATGTAACCTATATGGTGTAAATGGATCTTTAGGGTGAAACATAACTTCGATGGATCGATCTCAAGACACAAAGCTCGTCTAGTTACAAAGGTTTTTTCGCAAGTATCAGGACATGATTTCCAAGATACATTCAGTCCTGTGGTGAACTTTTTTACAGCAAATATCGTCATTTTCTCGGAAAATGTATTGTACGGGTCTTTGTACATTTCAGTCCTCATACTTTTGAAATAACAAAAGAGATCATTTGTATGTTAGAATGAGCAAAATGGTTATTTCTGTAACAGCTGAAAAAGAAAAAATTGTTAATTTTGCAAGGTTACTTAATTCGGTGACCCCTCATTCGTCTACGCTTTTTCTCCATTCAATTATGGATTAAGTTGTTAAAGATTTTGTCTGCTTTTGCTCTGTGCAGCATCGAAATGAGAGGCGAGGGCTCGGGGGAATATTTTTTTGATGATCTTAATGACTATTACCAAGAGATGCTTCTTTCATTTGCCACTGGTAATTGGGTGTTAGTACATATGAATAGTGATTCCATTTGTGTTCAGTGTTTCTAATGAAGGAATATGCAGAATGTGCAAATTCCGTGGTTCCTGCGTACGTACCCATTGTAGAGAAAAGGAAGGATACATCATTCAATGAAAGGCACAAGGCATGGCAGCAATTGCGAAGGGGCGCTATCTAGAATTCAACTTGGTATGGCATCTTACCTAAAACTAAACTAGATTGCCGACGAATCTCAGCTTATGTTCGTTTTGTTAACTGAAAGGTGTATGATCGAGGTACAACATTCGGACTGAAGACTGGAGGTCGAATTGAGAGTATTCTTGTTTCTCTCCCTTTAACGGCACGATGGGATCATGTAAGCTTTCTTCCCTTTGAGAAATAAAATTATGTTACCCTTCAACTGAAACTGATAAATCATGTTTGATTTGCTTCACATACAGAAACCAGACGAGGGAAGTGAAGAGTGGAAACTGTTAGCTGCATGCATGAATCCCAAGGAATGGGTTTGATGCTAACAGGTTGAGTTTGTTTTCTACTTTCAAAATTTTCCCTTTTTTTCTTGTTCTATAACCCAGTGTGTTTTCTTCCAAGTGAAGTGCAGATGTGAGTTGTAATACACAATTTGTTTAGTGCCAAATGTTGCTTAATAATATTGTTAACATCCTATGATTATCCCACACTACTCCCAAAAAAGAAGAAGAAGAAGAACATTTCCCCATACTGTAAACTACTATCACTTGAAGTCCCCAAAGTGCTCTATAATCCTACAAGACACGCCTGAACACTTGAGATTTTAGTTGATATAATTTTTAGAAAAAGAAAGGTTGATTCAGTAAAAATATGAAACCACATAATTTGAAGGGCGGTCCATATAATATCAAGTGGTAAAATATTGAAAATAAAATGGTATTTCATACTGAAAATAGAAGGAAAGGACTCGGTGTGTAACAATTAGCTCAGTGAAAGAAGTACAAAAATTGGAATAAAGAAGGTTAGTCGCATAGGCAAATGCCAATGTAATTGGGATGATGTCATTAAATTCGTTTTTCTTCGCATCTCATCTAACCAGAGAAGGGTGTCATCCAAATTCATCTACGCAAGAATTACTCTCATCTTTAATTTATGTTACGTTAAATTTAAGTCAAAGGATTTGTGTAATCCAAGCGGGGGCGGACGCATATGGCCCTACATGAGACTAAAAATATACACATTATTTTAGATTAGATATTAAATATAATTCAATATATTAAAGAAAGAAGAAAAAATAAGAAATTTTGTATACCCATTATATTAAAAAAAATTATTAAAATTTTTGAATCTTTATTTTTAAATTTTTGAATATGTCACTACTTTCAAGTAACAATCTGAGTATCTAAATTTAATTAACAATAAATTAAAATCCAAAGATGAAAACTCAGGCCGCCGAGATGACCTCTAAACAGCCTGCAAAGTGGCAACTATTGCATCTTCATTAGCAGGACTTAATTTGCATACAACCCAACGCTGAACAATGCATGCATTGTCAACCACTAGTAATTTTTTTACATCAGTCATTGTAGTTAGAGACAGATATTCTAATATTTTTATATTAGAGGTGTTAACTTATAAATTTATATTAAAAATTTAATATATGAAATTATTAAATTTTAAGATATATAAAATTAAATTATCAATAAAAAATTTAAATTTTTAATAGATACAATCAATCAGATCCTTAGCACCTCTGGATTTATATCTAGTTGTAGCCTTTGAGTCTGTTAAATGGAGATTCCAAATGTTCGTTGACCAATTCTTCTATCATGAACAGTGACATATTCATAAATTTAAAATTAAATTCTAAAATTTTAATATTATTTTTTTATTATAACTAACTAAATTTTATTTTTCCATTTTTCCTTATTATAACTAATTAAATTTCACATTTTTTTTCTTAAATAGTAGAGATGTACTGGACTTCCTATGAGACTTGGGGCATCTTCCCGAAAACATCACGAAGAACCAACAGATCACAAACCAACTACGTACTGGGAAACTGACTAAACACTAACAAAAGTGAAGGCCCAGAATTAGAAGCTAATCGCCATTCGCCAATCTGGGGAACGACCAGCACAAACTGACAACACTAAATAACTCCAACTTCCCGAGACAATCTACGAGACTAAAAACCTTTTCTTTAACTAATTATTTCATTTTATATACATAACAAATAAGTCTATTAAAATATTCACCCAAATTAACAGGAGTAACAAGGAAAGTATATAGTAATTTTTGTTATATTCGATGAGGTTCAACTAAACTATTATATATAATTAATAAAATTAATGGTCATAGAGTTATAAAATCTTTGTAATTTATCTGTTAGTTTTGTGTTTGATTTAAGTAAATTTTTTAAATTTTTTATTAATATTTTATTATTTTATTTAGAGATCATATAAAAGTAAAAAAGATTAAAAAACATTTTTTATATTCTAAAATAAAGCTTTTCAATCACTTTTGTAATTAAAATAGTGTTGAATTTACTCGAAATTTTTCATATGTATAAATGCAGATATATATTAAACAATGTTACGATTAACAAATGAGGACGAAATTATGTGACCCACTTAATTGGTATTGTTTGTAAACTGCAAGTGATGTGAAGACTCGTGAATGCTGTGGACCGCAGTCCGCAAATGCCACCTTTGAACTTGCACCATGTTTCTGTCGGATCATCTTTCGGGTAGGCACGAATTTCCTTAACGAAAAAATATGTGAATGAAATAAATGATTTTAAAATTCGAAATCACCTATTAAGAGAATTTTTAAGAAAATATCAGTTAAAAGATAAATTTGTCTATGTATAACCAAAATTCATTCTTTTAGTAATAAAAAGGGATTTGTGATCGGTTACGTTGGGGAAGGTAGCACCCCACAACGCCCAAAATTTGTACCATTGATTATAAAATTATCTCTATTAGTGAAAGTCTAAGAATTCAAATATAAATTTAATTTATGGTCTTATTATTTCAGATCCAATCAGTTAATTCTAAATAAAAATGATTTTATAAAACTGAAGTAAATATTTATATTTGTAGTGTTTTATAAATATGATATTTATTATTAAAAATATCAGAAAATGACATTTAGTTACTTAAGACAACTCTTTTATTTGATATAAAAATAAATAAATATTAATAAGAATATGATAATTTTTTTTAAAAATTTAATTTAAATAAAGTATATATATATATATAAATATATATATATATTAAACATGACTAATAATTACCAATATATTCCCATGTTGAATACATTACTACATGTGCGTGACTAATAATAAAATATATTCTAATAAAGTAAATATATATATTTTAAATAAAATCATCTTTGAATACATTACTATGCGTGACTAATAATTTAAAAAGTCAAGAGTAGTTGAAGCTTATAACATACTATTCCCATGTTGATTTTATAATATATTTATATAATAATTTTTACCACCTAACATCTGCAATCAATAAACAAAACATTTAATATAAATAAACAAAACATTTAATATAAGTATTAATAGTAATTTGATCATAATTAATTATAAGGAATTAAAATAAAAATTATTAAAAATATAGGGGATAAAAATTAAAATACTAAATTAAAAATATGAAAATAAAGGAACAATAATAAAATATAAAATAAAATAAAACAGTGACCAAAATAAAAGAAATTAAAAATAAGATTAATTTACAAAAATATATAAATTAATAGCCCTAATTCAAAATATAATAAAATATAGGTATTAACAGTGTAATTTATCCCTAAAACAATATTCGAATTAAATTATAAATTATTAAAATCTATGGGATTAAATCTAATATTTACCTTAAATATATATAAATACTAGCAGAGACTAAAATATAAATAAAATAAAATGCGAAGTCCAAATTAAAAGGCACAAAAACATGATTTTAGTGACCAATTTGAAACTATTACAAATTTAAGGGATCACGGAAAGGGTTTCTCATAATGAAATTACACAAACACTCCCTCCCCAAACGACGTAGTTTTGATTTGGGTATAAAAATAGGCCTTAAATGGCCATTTCAAGTTATTCTTCTTCCATTCTCTCTAAATTCCCTCACCGGAGGGAGCCCGACCACCGGACGATCACTATTCCAGCCACGACAGTCACTATTCACCACCATGGTTACTATTCTGATCAACTATTCACAGTCAAAAAAAATCAAAAATAGCTCAAAATATAGATCAAAACACCCTAAAGCCGAATCCGACCTTCGTTTCTCATAAAAACGTCTAGAATTTACTAGAACTAAATTTATACCTTCGATTCACGACGGTTTCCGACGACGTTTGGGCTCCTCGATAAGTCTTCTTTCATTCTTTTCCTCTCTATCTTTTCGTTCGTATCTTTCTCATTCTTCTTGCATGTTTTCAAGGTTTTTTATAGGCTCAGGAAGCTTCAAAAACCGTTCTTTGGTGAGTCACCGGATCTACAATGGTGACTCACATAGGGCGAGGTGTGCGGCTCCCTGCGGCTTCTGGAGTTTCCGTCAAGTTGGTGGAGGCGTGGAAACATCTGGTTGGAGCACCTGGAGAAGATAAGCAGAAAACCCTAGAAGTATCTGAATTGGGTCTTGGGTCGGGTCTGGGTGAATCTGGGCCTCCAGTTTTGAAAATGGGCTCCCAATTTATTTTGTAATAATAATGATAATATGATAGTCTCGAACAAAAATGATTGTCGACAGCTGCCCTCTTTGCTTATTTTGTGTTGACAAAAATAGAGTAAAGATAAAAGACAATGAATTTTCGTCCAGTTGATTCATGTTTTGATGGGAAATCTGTTCCATTCTTCATGGGAGATCCAATGGTGTATGAATTATTCCTTCGTGATGAGGACGGTCTGGCCACTTGAAGATATTTGAGATAACACGGTTCTTGTGATGAGGACGTCTAGTTATTGAGGTGACTCAGCCCTACGTGATGAGGAGTTCTGGTCAGTGGATGAAATTGTTCCTTCGTGATGAGGATGTCTAGCCATCTTTAAAGATATTTGAGATAACATGGTTTCTTCGTGATAAGGACATCTGGCTATCTAATGATGTTGTCCTTCGTGATGAGGAGTTCTGATTGTGGATGACATGTTCCTTGGTGATGAGAACGTATGGCCATCTTTAAGATATTTGAGATAACACGATCCTTCGTGATGAGGACATCTGGCTATCTAAGGATGAGTTTCTCCTTCATGTGAGGAGTTTTGGATGGATGACATTGTTCCTTCGTGATGAGGACGTCTGGCCATCTTTAAAGATTTGAGATAACACGGTTCCTTCGTGATGAGGACGTCTGGTATCTAAGGATGATGTTTCCTAAAATATCAACAAATGATGCATTATGAATATCATGATCCTATTATGCCTAAAATGTATGCATGATGCAATTTTAGTGCATTTTCTTTTTCGAATAAGGACTCTCTCATTGGCCTTCTGACTCATTTCATTTTGGGTACAGAAAACAAGGTCGATTTACTTCAACTGAATATATTGATCTCATCTTACTC